CAGGTAGCGTTTAAAGGTTCTGGATTGATTGTTGTAGGCTGATGTTGTTTTCTTTATTTTCTATGATATTTTTGGTGTGATTTGTTTTATGTTTTTAATCTTCCAGATATGTTTAGAAAGCATTGTGCTGTTCGCGTATTAACTATTTGCGAAGGATATTTTGTGCGCGTAGTTTCTTTGTTTCCAGGGTCCTTCAGTTACTTCTATGTAAATATTTCTTCGTTATCTGCTGATTTTACAGTGGCTTGGTATATTACATTGTTCTGCGAGTAATTGCCGTTTAAGGGGCATTCGTTCTTTGTCCTGCAGTTACACGTAGGTTTAATTTGTTCAGGTGGTTTGTTGGTTGATTTCCTGATGTGCTTTTTTATTATTTGCGTCATGTTCTCGGTGCAGCTATAGGTAATTTGTACAGTGTTTTTGTTGAATATCTTGTGGAGAGTGATTAATGCGGTGAAGTGTTTATGTATGAGTTTAATAAATATTTTTCCTACGTTTGGGTTGAACCATATGATGTCTCTCTTCTTGTTGGCTTTTTTTGTGATGTGTGGTGTGTATATGAGTTTTGCAGGGAATCCACTATCATTTAGGGCTGTTTCATAGTCTTTCTTGACTTCGTTGAAGATGGTTTCACAGGAAGAATTGTCGGAAAGCATGCAGTTGATTGATTGTGGTATTTGCTTGATTACGGATGGCGGGTGGTTGGAAGATGTGTGTATATACAGTGGTTTATCATTCGGTTTCACTGTATGGTTTATATGTACCTTTTCTTAGGTTGAAGGTGACATCCAGAAAATCTACTTCTTTTAGGTTAGTTTTTATGTTCCATGTTTTTATGTCGAATCCCGTCTATGTCGAATCAAGATGTTATCTCCCATGGTGAAATTCGAACCCGGGTCATCGTCAGAAAGTTAACGTTCTAACCACTGAGCCATTTCTATCAACCAGGAAACATACACACACACAATATATATATATATATATATGTGTGTGTGTGTGTGTGTGTGTGTGTGTACCAAGTGTAACAGCAAAATTGTCCAAATCGTGTAACATCTCACAAAGTGTTTAATATCTAAAAAAAAAGTCACTAAACTAATTGAGTTTCTTTTCTCCAGGTTTTCAGATAAGACGTCTAGCCATCAATAAATAGAGCAATGTCGCAGCTATTATCCCGAAAGTTGCACGTCGGATCAGTTCTTTTTAAATATATATAAGTATATATATAACTATGAACCTAAAGAGCCAGTCATACCTACCTAGGTTTCACCTACGCGGACGAGTATACTTATATTTATAAGATTATTATCATATATATATATATATATATATATATATATATATATATATATATATATATATATATATTGAGTCTTCTTATAAGATGATTTTTGAAGTTATCAAATGTTGTAATATTATAATTACACACATGGTGAGCCGATTCCAGCCCGTGGCACCGTTGCCTGAAAATCTGAAGCTGGACCAAGCCTCCTTGCGAGTGAAACTGAATCGTCGGAAGAGGAAAAGACACTTCACTTTGCTCGTTTACCAATTCACACTCACTCATATTGCTTGGTCGCAAACTACTCGAAGACAGGAAATATGTTATCCTGATTTACCACGGTGGCAGTATGTGATACATCTTACTTATTATAAAACGCAGATTGTGTGTATCTGTTACGTTTGTATATTGGATCGGATTTCCTACATTTTTCAACCAATTTCAACAAGACTTCACAGGACTACGTAAAATTACCTTGCGGTGGTTCTAACAGCGCCAAAATTTGGGAAAACACAATTGTTTTTGCACAAAATCAATTTGAAAACACGATTAAGAGGCATTAATGAAAGGGATACAACTCACTTCGAGTTATACTTATTATAAAACCCAGGTTGGTTGTTTGTGTTTGTGTGTGTGTTTGTGTTCGTTTATATATGGGATCGGATTTCCTACATTTTTCAACCGATTTCAACAAAACTTCACTTTTTGGGGGGGGTAGTGTTTCTTATTGTCTTGCACACCTTTTTCTTTATTTTTACATTCAAAATGCTTTAAAAATTCCATTTACAAGACAATTGTTTATGATAAAATTCTATTCAATCGGTAGACTCATAACGATTGAAAACAATGTTTTTGTTTGAGTTTGACCAATTCGTAAAAAAAAAAAAAAAAAAAAAAACTAATTAAGACATGCGTGTCCGTCAACCTTAAACAAATAATCTTTGTCAATTTTATTTTTCAGTCTTTATGATTGTCGATACTTGATCTATCTCTTACTGTTACATCCCCGGGCTCTGCTGCTAGTAGTCAATACGCGTATACGCAGACCAAGGACAAAAATTGCCCAATCGCTGGTGTCGAGATCCACCAACCTTCTCTCTTTAGTGCAATGAGGGGAGTCCTGACGCTTGGTTGGAATCCCCGTTTCATTACAAAACGGCGAACTGCTCAAAGGCAGAAACACAGCAGAGAAGAGAACAGATACTACACTTTCATCGTATCCCAAGACCAGCGAGGTGCGACAGGACACACAGATGCGCTGATCTGAAGAAGAAGAAGAAGAAGAGAAAACCCATGTGTAAATAATCTCATCATTTTTTACGAGTACTATGTTATTTAGAAAAACTTGACTAAATTCTTTCTTATTAATATTTAGTAAGGCTATATATATATATATATATATATATATATATATATATATATATATATGTGTGTGTGTGTGTGTGTGTGTGTTTCTATGTACGTACCTCTGATGGTCGCTCCTTGTAGCGGTAGAGGGGAGTACATGTTCCAGTGACTCTGAGGGCGATGTCATCTGATAGGCCCTTGTCGGCAAGGTAGAAAACAAGTACCCAGACTAAGCACGATCAACCCCGAAGACCTTACCGGTGGAACAAACGAATGACGATTACAACAGATTTCAATGATTAAACCAGTGGATGGAGAGTGCTACGCATGAACGATACATTAAGCAAAAATCAACAAAAATTTTGAAAATAAAATTCAACAGAAACCAGCTATGGATTAGTGTTAGGCTTCAATTTTTTTTTGTTTTCTTTTAATTATAAAATAAATTACAAAAATATAATTAGATCTCATCAAGTGTATAGACGGTCTGGAAGAGTGTGAGAAAACTAAGATAACTAACATGTATAAAATGCAATAAGCAATACAACTCTGTCTGCATGTATCTATTTCTCTCTCCATCTCTCTCTTATATATATATATATATATATATATATGTGTGTGTGTGTGTGTGTGTGTGTGCGTGTCTGTGTGTGTCTGTGTGTGTGCGTGTGCCTGTGCGTGCGTGTTTCATTAAAGATGAATGACAAGCTTTTTATTCGATTTTTCTTGCAATCGTACAAGTTAACGGCTACAACGAACTGATCGTGTTTGGAAAATGAAAAAAAAACAAAAAAACAGTCAATATAGATGCACATATATAAAAATCTACATATTCAGTTAAAAACATCATAGATAATAGCAAATAGAATAGCCAAAAAGTCTTGGATATATAGAACATTTGGATAGATTTTGCACGCTATATATCCCGAATGCAAGAAAAATTGAATAAAAAGCTTAATCGCAGTACCTTTTTAGTCGTCTTTAATTAACTATTTATAAAAGAGGGATTGCAAATACACAATTGCACACACACGCGCGCACACACACACACACACACACACACACACACACACACACACACACACACATATATATATATATATATATATATATATATATGAATTACGTAAAAATGAAACTCAATTGTACCCCTATATATATGGCCATTTCGCTCCTCGAGAGATTTCTCTCTTAGTAAAATTCCCTGGAACTTGTCAATATTAAAACGTTTGATAAAAAAAAATGAATCGTAACATGTTTTTTTTTTTTTTTAATTGAAAATTAAAAAAGATAAGAAGAAAGCGGAAAAAAGAGAGGGAAAAAAAAGAGGAAAAAACCGCGAATAAGAGAAAAAGCATTTAAGAGGGATATAGAGAGAAAAAAAGGGGTAGGAAAAAACAAAGAACAGAGGGCGGGGGCGGAATAGGAAAGACAGATACATATACAAGTCTAGACAGAAGTTAAAAACGGTTGTAGATCAACAATGACCTATATTTAAAATGTTAACTCTTGTTCAAATAGGAGAAAATTACATAAAGAAATAAAATCTTCAAAAATAAGAAAGAGTTTTTAATATTAATATTTTATATTATTAGGAATCACTTGGATTACTTACCCACGAATTTTTACCTGTACAAATATATATATATATATATATATATATGTATGTATGTATGTCAAAACTACCTTCGTCTGTAACTACGATCCAGATTGTAAAATTTCCGCAGCTGCTTGATTTTGACGTCTCCAATGTGTAATCCGTATCTTGTGTTGTCTCTTTTGCTGATAACCATATATTCCTTCTTTTTACAATTAATAGTCCTTTCTTCTTTCTTTCTTCCTAGAGTGTTGTGTCTAATAATCATTTCGGTTTTCTTTCTGAATCTGCTACCGGTATCATGCCATCTGTTGTTATGTCAGTCAACAATAAATATATATACCTTCTTGTCCTTTCGAATCATTTCGTTGCACAAATTGAATACATTCGAAGAGGAAATACATTTTTTTCTCATTCTTCTTTCTGCTTTGTGATTTCATTAAATTTATTTTTTATCCGCATACAAACTGTTTGTTCCCAGTAGAGTTTATGCATTATTTGATTGATTCATTCATTTTCTACTGCTTATCAACCCTTTGAGGGTTATTTAAAGCCAAAATATATGTTCAGATTGTAAGAATCTTTTCTGAGATAATAATAGTTTAATAATACAAGTTTTACTAATTAACCCATAGCTAGGGGAGAAGAGGTGGATTCATACCTTTCCCGAGGGTATTTGCGCGTAAGTAAATATAACAAATACAACGGGAATTGGATCTTGGCTCTCTGACTAACAATTCCGAGCCATTATTTATTACATCAACCACACATCCAAACTTACAGCACCTGGTATTCCCAAGTGGTCACCCATCTAGGTGTTGACCAGGTCCGACGTTACTTAACTTCGGTCATCATACGGCAACCGGTGTTTCAACATGATATGGACGTAAACCTGGCATAACTTGAATGTCTTTTCTTTGTAAAGAAAAATGTCAAGACCCTCACGTGTTGTATCTTATCAAATATATTTGTGTAATCTATGAAACATGGCTATAGATCTTTCTGCATGTGTATTTCTCGTTTTGATAACATTCTTACCAGAAACAAAACTGCATTTATTGTGTTCCAGTGTCTTAAACAAAAAACAAACACTGTTTCCGATTTAACTCTTTTACGAACTCTATTCATTACAACCCTCATAATTAGTTTATTTGTGTAGTTAATCAAGCTCGCTTTCGTTTGCTTGTGGTTTCTTTGGCAGGACTATGAAGATTGATCCACTAAAGTCTTCCAGTATTTCGCCGCTGTCATATATTTCATTTATCACCTCGTTAAACTTACCAATCTCCAAATTGTCTAAGTTGTCAGCATTTCCGTGGTCTTGCTATTTTTTTGCCTTTTCATCTAGGACAGTGCTGATCTCAAATCAAATTTTAATATTACGGGACCTTTTATGTTTTATGTACTGTATGTTTTTCTCCTCGGTTTTCATTAAAGAAATCTCCAATATATTCTTTTCCCATTATAACTGCTGTTTCTTTGTATGCATCCTACAGAAGACTACGTTTTCTATCCCGCAATTTCTTTTTATCATTTTATATATGTCTGCTTTGTCTATGTTCAGCAGTTTTTCAATTTCTGCAAATTTCCCATTGAGCAATTCATTTTTTTGTTTGCTTGCATTTTTTCTGTTGGTTTTGTTTAATACATTCTGTGACATTTCTTGGAGTTATCTACCTCCTCTCTTTCATTAGAATGAGAATTTCACTTCTTTTCTTGTTTCTCTTCTCTCGGATGATTTCTTTTGCCATTGTTACTGATGCTTCCATTAAGGTTTTCTATTTTGAGTTCTTGACTTGTTTCGTCGTTCAGTATTTGTTTTTAACTGTAAGTGCATATATTTGTTTGCAGCTTAAATTATTGTGGAGTTTGTTGTATTTAAGTCATTGCTCTGGGCTTCTTTAATTTTTGCAATTCTACCCATAGTTTGCTTATCGCTCCCTCAGTCAGCAGCTGTATATGGTGTAGAATTCAAAACATCATTTCTGCATTGTCTGTTGATGGTTAAAACATTTTATTATAAATTATTATTAGTTTATTTTTTTTTAAAGAGCATAAATTAATTTATTTGCTTATCCTTTGAAATTCTAACAACTTCCATTTCTAAAATGACGTCAGCACATATGTCGCATTTTGATGCTTCATGTTTATAAAAGTACTATTGACGGGATTATCGAGTCAATTCGAATGATCTTTTCTTTAGCTAGGGTCGACGGTAATTTTATAAACATAAGCCTCCAAAATGCGACGTAGTTGTTTTCCTTCTCCTAGACCAGTTGCCACTTAAAACTATAGAACCCAGTCTGTCCTACTATTTACCCACAGCTGGAGAGAGAAGAAGAGGATTCAGACCTTTCCAAAGGGTATTAGCACGTAAGTGAATGTAATAGATTCCATTGGAATTCGAACTGGCTCTCCGATTCTTCGCCGCTATCCATTACTCTACCGTGGCGCCTTATATATATATATATATATATATATATATATATATATATATATATATTATATATATATATAAAACGGTGCAACGTTCTCGTGTGTTTTCTTTTGAATCTATGATATGGGAACTCTACTACATCTCAATTTTTATAAGGTATTATACATATAAAACAAAAATGTAATTAACTTAATTATGTACAATGATATGCAATATAGGTGAACTATTCAGCTAGAAAAATTGTAAGGCAATGTATTTAAATACAAATTAGAGACATGTCATAAGAGATCATTCCATTTTAATTAAATCAATAATTGCGGCAATTTTTAACACCAGCTTTTTGTTAAGCGGAATAGTTTTAATATATTCAACATTATGTGAATAGTGAATTATATAGAGTTTTTCGAATCTTAGAACAAGCAAACGTATTCACGACTTCAACACAATCGAGTGTTCGAGCACATTCATTTTCAATTAAAATTATTGTTAATCTGGATAACTTTTAATCTCCCGTAGATCGCAGATATTTTTTTAATACGTTTTAGGCACTTGTAACAGTCAATTATTTAGTAATCACTGCATGCAATGCAATGTACAAGTTTGGGTAAGTATGAACTAAATGACTCGACAAATATAATCTAAGAAAGCATGGACATTTTTTTTTTGTTGATTTTTCTGTTCCTGATCTCCAATTCACGTTGCAGAAATGAGGCACATCTTGATCTTGTGGGGCAATTCTTCTAGTTCCTTTAAATCCGGCAATTATTTGACTTTTTGCAAGAATTTACAAATTAATCTGTTTTTCTCCGCAAAAAAGTCGCTAAAATATTTGGTTCTCCTGTCAAAAAAATACAATTTAACCAAAATTTTGAACGATCTGAAAGCATCAAAAATATAATTTAATAATCAAAAAGTCCTGTGGTCTTTTCTCTTAATAATAAATATAAACACTATTTTTTTTATTAAGTTTGGGATATTTTTTTTTTGGTATGCTCATTTTTTTTGCGAATCTGCGCTACCTACTTTTTTATACAAAGATTATTTTATTCAAGTTTAAACTCTAGGTAGAAAAGTAAATACTGACTAGCATCCAAAAACACTTTTATATGCTTGAGTGATGCCACAGTTTTTAAAGCAAAAGACTCTATGGAAGACTTTCTTTCAGTTTGTCAATGAAATCTGAGATGAAAATGTAACAATTCCAATATCCAACAATCTTTTTTCTTACTACTCTTTGATGTTATGACCCTTTATATCTTTATCCTTTCTTTCACTAGCAGCTCATTGTTTTTCTAATTTCTGTTTAAAGAAAAAACACACCAGAAAAAACGAGCAAAAAAAAAACAAAAAAAAAACACACAAGCAAAAACGAAAAAAAAAAAAAAACACATGCATGAAAATTGAAAATTAAGATCAAAGTACTGGTTTTAAAGTATGAACTTCTTACATACGTGTGAAAACTTTGCTCCTTAAGCTTTTTCAGATAAACTCATTAATCAATAGAAATTGGGTTTTACTGCTGTAAAAAGTAAAGTTAAAAGGATAAATGTGGACTGCAAAGAAGAATTTATTTACCAGATCTATTATTAACCAGTTTTTTTTTGTTTTAGTTATTCTCTATTGTATTTTAATTTTAACGTTTAATACTTTTTTTAAAAATATTATAAAATGTTTTTTAATTTTCATGCAACAATAGCAAAAGAAAAAATATCGTATGAATTTTTTTTGTCTTTTTATTATTTGTTTTAAAGGAATATTCTGTTTATTATTATTCATTTCTGTCATGTGGTTAATAATTAATAAATGTTTTCGTACTGATCATATCGGTTCCCTTTCGTTTGTCTTTGTATTATTGACCAAATTATCTTAATATATATATATATATATATATATATATATATATATATATAAAAATACCCTAAAGAACCAGGCAAACCTTTTTCCGGACGAGTATATTTACTTATATTTCTAAGATTATATATATATATATATATATATATATATATATATATATATATATTAAAAAAAAAACGGACCACTTTAAGGTTCCATTATAAGTTATTTCACCAGAGCCCTTTAAAGAACGCCGGATCATAGATAGCTCTTGGGACTACCCCCATACGGATTACCAAGTTTTTCATATATATATATATATATATATATATATATATATATATATATATATATATAAAAGTGAACATAGAAGTTAACACTTAGAGGTGACAGTGTTTCATACTAGATGCAATCATACTGATCATATCGGTCCTCTTTCGTTTGTCTTTGTATTATTGACCAAATTATCTTAATATATGGCCTATATGAGGCTCATATACATTACAAGAATTCATTCAAATTAGTTTTGTTTTTTTGTTTTTTGTTTTTGAATATATCAAATATTCATACTTATTGTAATTTTGTACGCATCTTGAATATTTTACACACATTTAAAATAGAGTTTTCTGTGGTGAATGATAAAAATATATTTTATGCACGTAAATTTAAATTAATTTGAAGTCTAGCGTTCTCATATAATGCCAGGAGGTAACCAACAAAATCTTGCATACCATAATCATAACATCCAGTTTTGATAATGACTGAGATTATCGGAGGTATTTGAAAAAAAATAAGAAAAAATTAATTCGGACAGTTTATGAACAATTCCGAAAAATATAACAAAAACAAACAAACAAACAAAAAAAAACAGATAAATCTTGCCGGTTAAATGCTCTGCGCATATACAAGAACATGTGTGAAGAGATGTACATTGATCATTTGAGTATTCCATACCACATTCCAAATGAATCTATCAGTAGGACTTTTCCTACCGAGTGTACAGATGATTCATAGTTGAGATAAAAATGATGTTGAACATCTTTTACAAAGTAAACCTTTCCCAAAGAATAACTATTATCTAGAACGGGAATGAAATCAATTATAGTACTTACCCTAAATCCATCATAAACATTCAAGATGTAGATTTAGTAAATACTAAGCATTTTCAAATATCTCGGTGTATGGATCAGTTATAACAAATTTACTATAGGAAATAAGGTAGTTTTGCCCCAAACCGTAGATTACAAGAAAAAAAAAACTTTTCTTAAATAGCTTCGTCAGATCGAGACTTTTTATATGGATGTCGTGCATGGCACCAAACCAGTTCAGAAATATATAAACTGTCAGTTGTATACAATCGCTCCTTCAGATCAATGATTAAAAATGTCTCCAAGTAAATGAAGCTTATAGATCTTAGCGAAGAACATACTTCTTCGAACCTCATAGTCTGGAGCTACAGAATTATAAACAAAGAATTGTACCAAAAAACAGAAACAGCATCACTTGAGGACTTTCAACAACAACAGCAACTAAAATGGATATCATATGTAAAGAAAAGAATAATATCATACTCAAGATGTTACCGTTCCATACTATATCAAACAAAAGGTTATGAAAGAA